CCCCCCCCCCCCCCCACGTCCCAGATGCTGGCTCTGATAGTAGCCCATGAATAACAGATTGGAAGCAGATAAATTGACGAGGCATTTTCAAGAGAGGGGGGGCTTATAAGGAATTATGCAGATGAGCTGATCATCAGGAGGTAAAGCAATGTAAGGAATCAGTCCCTGGTCTTTTCCATAAATCAGAATGAGACAAAGCAAATGCTAATCTCTTAACCCCTGGGTTTTCCTCTACTCCCCCAACCAACTTTTCTGACTGGGGCCTGACTGCAAGGATCATCCTAATGTGGGGAAAACTTCAGTACCATTCTCCTCTCCCCAATATGGCATTTTAGCTAGATATTAAAATATTTTTTTCTCTTTTGGTGCAGCTACTCTGGCAAATAAGATTGGAATTGGAATTTTGTAGAGGCCAGGCACCAGGCTGGCAAGGCTCAGACCAATTCTGCTCCATTCCAGGTAAATGAACGTTGAGTCAGAATGATCCTACTTTTAAAAATTAATCCCAGATTTGAACCGGACGTGTTGTGCACCTATGGTGGAACTCTTACACCTGTTCCTGTTGCACTGAGTAAGCCTGAATGTGTGCATTTGCACATGAAAGTGTAGCAGACTGATTATACTTTTTAGTATCTGCAGCGCTTCAAGGCCCATAATTCCCAGATAACCTGGCAGAGTATCATGCTGGCTAGGGAATTATGGGAAATATAGGCCAACCTATATGGAAGACATCAAGCTTCTGTGCTTCGTTCTTATTTTTTTCCTCTTATAGTACATTCCTTACATTCAGTTGAGTTGTCAGATTGTACACAGTAATGTACAGAATCAGGTTCTACTTCATTCTTCCCTTCTTCAAAGACTGTTAAAGTATCTGGCTCCACTTGGCCCTACCTTTATTTAAACGTGTGCCTGCTCTGCTTTTGAAAGCAGCAGAAGGTAGGTTGAAAAATGCTGGCTTGGGGATTTAAGGGCCGGGTATCTTCAGCATCTTCCCCCAAAAGCTGGAGAAATTGGGGTGGGCACTGCAAGCAGTCTCCTACACTCCAAATAATGTTCTTGGAAGTTCTGTTCCAGGAGAACAGTTGCATTATTTGGATTAAGAGCTTTTTTCAATGACCCTTCTCCTCAATGCTTAATCTAGTGACGCTGGCAGAAGCGACTCTTTTATGTTCTCAGACGTTTTCCTCCTGAACATGTATGTGTTGTGTACCTCCATCATAAAACGATAGACTATTTTAGTTCCAAGTGTAGCTCTTGGTTTGTTGAATGTGCATATGGGTTCGATAAGGCTTCGGAAACAAAAAAGCCTTGCATTAGAAACTGAGGTGGTTTGGGGAAATCATCACACATTAAATGTCTATATTGCAATGTATGTTTTGCTGAAAGCACAACAGAAGTAAATCTTGCCAGGTCTATAGAATTAACACATTCAATGCTGGAAGGAGATTTTCCTGAATGTTGTACAGGTAATGCTGGAGCTAAAAGAAGAGAGTTTCAATGTGATGACTGCTGAAAACCTTATCCAGATTAATGTATGTTTTGCTGAAAGCACAACAGAAGTAAATCTTGCCAGGTCTATAGAATTAACACATTCAATGCTGGAAGGAGATTTTCCTGAATGTTGTACAGGTAATGCTGGAGCTAAAAGAAGAGAGTTTCAATGTGATGACTGCTGAAACCCTTATCCAGATTATAATCCAAAAGTCTAGCAGTCAGACAGACATAGAGGTTCATTGCATT